CCGCCAGTCATCTCGCGCGCGTCGTGTTGTGCGGGTCGTTTCCGTGTCGTCCGCTCGTCCGGTGAGGTGTGCTCCGAGCCGTCTCTCCCGAAAGTAGCATCTCTCCGTCCGGCAGTTCGATCCTCGTTCATCCGTGGATCTTCTGGATCCGCCGACTCTTCGCGTGTAAGATCTCAGGTGAGTCTCACGTTAAGTTGATCCGGCAGAGGAAATTACACGATCTCACTCAGAGCGCGAATGTGAGCCATCCGTGAACGTTGGAATACGCGAACTCAGTTTTTAAAAATCGCCGCAGGTCGCGACAATTTGCTCTGATACCGTAAGATAATTATACGAGAAATTGGGATTGCTGATTGGAGCTCCTGTGTCAATTCTGGTTCGGAATTATCGGGGTGGAAAACGTGAGGCGGAGAACGTGATGAAATTGTTTTAATTTCACGTAGTTATAAAAAAATACTTGAGGGAAAAAGTTGTGATGACTAAACGAAAATAGAGAGAGCTTGTATTTATTTTCTATCTAAACTGATCGCGAAAATTTTTTAATTTACACGTGAGAAAATAGATTCAATACGCGCTAACTGAGTGAGCTTTCCTCTAAATAATCACCATGATTCTTTGATGCTTCACATAAAGAAATAATAAAAATATTTTAAAGAAATACCTAATTAATAATAATATAGGATTTGCGTAATATGACTTTTATGTTCGAAGCTTTTACGGGATTGTCTAAAAATCAGGGAAATATCAGGGAAATCAGGAAAAAATTAGAATATTTTGCAAAATTTTCTGAAAAATTAAAATTCTTGGTTTTATAGAAGTTTAATAAATTTCGACTTAACAATTAAATGCAAGCGGTGTCAGCAACATTAATAATAATTTATATTGCTATGTTAAATTACTCTCTTAACAAAATATTTCCAAATTAGGAAAAAATGCAAAAAAAATTTAATGAAAGCATTAAGGAAAATTATAAAACGTATCTAGAAATTAAGGAAAAATTATGGAATTTTAGGATGAGGAATTTTTAGCAATTCTGGTCTAATCTTTATTAAATGTTATTGCTGCGTATTAATACAGCGTCGGCAATTTAATTTCTTTCGATTTCTTTTTGGAGCCACAATTTTTATTTTTATAATTATTATTCTTGTTAAATTATTCAAGTAACGTATACGGTATTTCTCTCCTTCTCTAACTCGTTCTGAAAAACGCGTCGGAGAGAAACTCTGTTATTAACCCGCTTATTTCTCCTGCGTATTCGACAAATATTAGAAGGCATCCTAAATCGCATCGCACATATGGCTTATAGTGACAATTGTTATTATAACCGCTGCTGCGTAATGTTTTGCGGCTCGAATGTTTACGACCTTGTAAAATTCTTGGAATTCTTGCGCGGGAGTCGCGCGAGTATGAAATACCGAAATTCTGCTCTCTTTTTTTCTCTCTCCTTTTTCTCTATTTCTACTCACTATCCTTTGGTTTCTAACTTTGCTTTTATACAATTTATAGTTTTTATTTTTATATTTTATTTTTGTATTACCTTTGTTGTGTTATTTTTTCTATTTGTATATTTCCATTCTTTTATTGTTCGTTTTACTTTCTCAGAGAGGAATTGCCTTGGAATAGTAATAAACGCCTTTATTTCTCTCTCTCTCTCTCTCTCTCTCTCTCTCTCTCTCTTTCTCTCGTTCTTTTTCTTTTTATTCGCTACGCTATTCTTTGTTTTTTTATCTTTGCTTCTATACAGTTTATAATTTTTATTTTTATATTTTATTTGTATTACTCTCTTTCTTTTGTATTATTTTTGCTATTCGATATATTTTTGCCTTTTTGCTTTCCTTTTTGCTTCTATATGTTCTTAGAAGGCTTATTGATGAACAGCAGTAATAAAGCTTTTATCTATCTCTCTTCCGCTCTTTTTTTTCTAGTTTACTATTATACTGTATTCTTTTACAAGTGGAAATTAGATCGATGAGATTAATGAGTTAATTCTAAGCAGAATCGTAAGATGTTTTCTCTCGTAACATGTTTTCGTAAAACTTGTAAGAACTTATGATTAGTATTCTAATTTTATGCGTATGTATCGTAAGACGTACGATTATTCGTAAATATCTACGATTTCTTGTAAATTTTATGGCTAATAAGAAGCTGTCTGTAAAAATTGTACAAAGCAGGCCTATCCAATTTGAGCTCCGGAGCCAAAACGCAAAGCTATCGACGCAAAAAAATTCAATATGAGTAAGATTTTGGGGACTGTAAAGTATTGATACGCATCTAAGTGACGCTTATCAACACTTTATAGTTTTAAAATCTTACTAACATTGAATTTTTTACGTCGATGGCTTTGCGTTTTGAGTCCGGAGCTCAAATTGGACAGACCTGGTATAAAGGTATAAGCACTTAAAAATTCTTACAAGTCTTACAAGAATATGTAATGTTACGAGCCTTACGATTCTGTTTTAGAATTTAGAAGTTAAATAAAAAAAAGAATCCTATTTTAGGTCGAAGCGGATCTTGCTGCTTAATAACATTCATATTCAAATTTGCAAATACATTTTTCAGTTTTATAAACTGCCCGTCGATTCGGTTTGTCGGACTTGAAACGTATTCTATTATCTGTTGTGTACGTGCGTCGTTTTCCTCTCTCTCTCTCTTTCTCTCTCACTCTCTCTCACTCGCTGTCCTTCTCTCTTAGGTGAGTGCGAAAAAAATACGCGCTAAATTTAGAAGTCCTGTAAAAAAGTGAACGAATTGTACGCAAAGTTTACGCACGAAATATCTTATGTCGACGAAGGAGCTCGTCGATGCCCGGATATTTGCCAAGTCATGCTGGCGCTGCGAAACTAACGAGTACGGAAATACATATTTCCGCGAGATACATCGGAAAATTGGAAATTGCGTAAAATGTAAATTGGACGGAAAAATATCTCGGAGGTGGATTCTCGTAAATATCAAGAAACTCGTTATTTTCTTACATGCAAGCGAAACTGTAAAATTAAAATATAAAACGGGAAAAGAAAGGAAGAGAGGGAGGGAGGAGAGAGAGAGAGATAGAGAAATTTACATTCGAGAAAAGTTTCGATTGCAATGGAAAACGGTACATATTAGCTCGCAGATCGAGTGGAAGGATTAAAAGGTTGGGAAAGATTGGAGGAATCGCAAAACCAAACGCGTCGCGCGTCGCGTCGAGGATTCCGCTCGGATTACTCGCGAGGAAATCGATGACGCGTGACGCATTTTCTCGGACCGACATCATCGTCATCTTGAGAATGAATATTTCATCTCTCGAACGTCCCGTCCCGCCTGAATAAGAGAGAAAAGAAGAGACGGAGAGACTGAAAGAGTGACATATTAAATTATGAATATTTCATCGACGGAAATCATCCGCGAGCGATTCCGCGTCGCCGATGGAACTCTACCCTTGGATTTTCTCTACCTCGTTCTTTCCTTTCTTTTTTTTCCGCCTCTTCTATTTCATCGCGTTTCTTAAAGTCGAACGCGCAAAATGACTGGCCCATTTTGCCATTATCGAAGCGGCAAAAAGAAAGAAAGAGAGGGGTAAAAAAAGAGAGAAATGTATAAGCGTGAGGCCGAGTATTGAACGGTGCCAAATGTCAGCTGCAAATCGGAATTTATGTCCCGACAGATAATTCACGAGTCGAGACCGGGGTTCATTGCAGCTCGTAATTCGTTGTTAACTCTTTACTGCGTGTGATTTCCGTCACCATGTAAATTTCTTTCTCTTCGACCCCGCTATCCCCGATATATCGTAGCTTCATCTTCATTTACGACATGTAATTGTGCCATTTTATAGCCGCTCAATTGCCACAGCTGACGGATGTAACTCTATTGGTTGAATTAATACAAAATGCGAAAGAAATATACTGACAGAAAAATGTTTGTTATTTGTGAGTATAATGGCATGGCAAAATAATTATAATTAGAAGCTTCATTTCCATAATTATCGCTGCTGTTGTAATGTTTAATAATTATTATTATATTTATATTTATAATAAACATATAAATATAATTATAAATATATTTATTATTGTTAACGTTATAATTATATTTATGTTTTGACCAAGAAATATATAGGTGGCACCGAAAATGATTATAAATTATATGATAAAATAATTGTGGTTAGGAATTCTATTTTTATATCATCACTGCTATAATGTTAATAATAATAATAATAATAATAATTTACAGTTCTATAAAAAAGTATATAGTGGCATCGGAAATGACTATAAAGTACATAGTTAATTTACGGTAACGGCGACCATTTTCTTTATGTCAGTGTACGAATGGAAATGTAAACAACCAGGTATTTTGAAAATCAACTAACTGAAATATAGTTGGTGTTATTGTTATTTGAAACACAAAATGCTTGCGTACCCTGAATTTCACTGCAGAGAGTTATGGATTATAGATTTACAAAAATCCTTTTTCGAATTCGAACCTTTCTACCGCTTTTATTTTAATTCTTTTAATGAGATTAATTTAATAGCCCCCTTCCCTTGAGCGGAATTAACGTTATACCTAGACTGAATTTATTTACGTTCGGAAATAGAATTTATAAATTGTATTGGTATATGAAAATCAGCTATATGCGATTATACGAGTTCTCAGAAATAGAAGCTATTGCGGGGAAATCCTACTTTGTCGAAAGTGAAATAGTATAAGGTATACATGAAAGAGGTTAAAGAATAGTTTTCTTCCTTTCATTATTGCAATGAATATGTACTGCACCCATATTCGTTTTTGCAGTTCCGCTTTTTTGCGTTCGAAGGTTAATTAACGTCCCTGAGGATTTCTTTGACGGTGCAGGATAAGGGAACGTCATCGATGGCTAAATAAAGCAAAAGGGCGGAGCCCTTTGAGGCGATAATTAAAGCTACGATGTAAGAGAGGAAGGGAACGGGAACAGGAAGAGCACAAGTGGAAAAGGGGGGGAGTGAAGGGTGGCTTTGAAAGCCAAGGATGTTTTAGTTCGCTGAGAAAAGAAAGAGATAAAACAGCTGCTTTCGAGGTGCGTGTGCGCCTTTTTTTTTCGCGCCAATTTACAGCTCGTGGAATCTCGTTTATAGAACTAGTTCTATAAGCTTCCTCGTCCCGCCTCTCGCTGGCCTTGAAAAAGGAAAAATATTGCGTCGCTAATAAACCCGCTCTCGATGCACACG